CTTTCCTCTTTCCTTTCCTCTTTCCTTTCCTCTTTCCTTTCCTTTTCATTCCCTTTCCTCTTTCCTTTCCTCTTTCCTTTCCCCTTTCCTTTCCTTTCCTTTCCTTTCCTTTCCTTTCCTTTCCTTTCCTTTCCTTTCCTTTCCTTTCCTTTCCTTTCCTTTTCCTTTTCCTTTTCCTTTTCCTTTTCCTTTTCCTTTTCCTCTTTCCTTTCTTCCCCTTATCTCCAACGTTCCCCTCCACCAGGGCGATGATTTTGTGAATCCCCTCCTTTGCTCACCACCCTCAAACCACATTTTGGTTTTCCTTTCCCAGTGGAAGAGCAGGAGCCAAAGGACGGGAAGTTGGGCAGTGCCAGGAATGCCATCTCCCTAAAAATCGCCTCCGTTTTGCCGGGACTCCGCTACGCCCTCCGGAAAGCAGCCAGCTCCTCCTGGAACGCCTCGGGCATCCAGGAGCACCTCCAGGAATTTGCAGAACTCCAGGAAAACTCCCAGCCCATCCCTGGGCAGGGCAGCGACGTTCCCGTTGCTCCTGTCCCCTCTTCCTGCCGGGATGGAGGCGCTGACCCTTCCCAAAATCTCTCGGAGCCATCCCTGGCCCAGCTGCGCCGTTACCTCTGCGACCCCGGCAGCTTCGCCCTGGGCATCCAGGCAGCCTTGCAGTGTCTCACGGGGGCTGCCAGGAATTTGGGAGCTGATCCTGGGAATTCCTCCTCCTCCTCCTCCTCCTCCTCCTCCTCGGTGCCTCCACATCCCGCTCCTCCCACCAGAACGCTGCGGGATAAGAGGGAGCACCCCAGGCCCGCTCCGGAGAGATTCCCAAAAAGCATCACCTCTCCCACCAAGCCCTGGGGCCGGGAGCTCCGGAGGAAATCCAGCAGGATCCTCGGGAAGAGAGGCCTCAAGGCACAAACACATCCTGGGAAGAACAACAGCAGGAGCAGGGAGGCAGCCAAGAAAAAACCCAGCATCGCTTCCTCTTGTCCCAAAAAATCGGGATCCACGGACAATCCCAACGAGCCCATGCTGAAATTGGCCAATTTGCAGCTGCCACATGGAAGGAAAAGAGGTGGGTGCTGGAAAAATGGGATTGGTTTCCACCTTCCATCCAGCTGGGACGCTCTGGGTTCACTGGGAACCATCCAGGAGCTTTCCAAGTGCATAGAGCATCCAGATAAATCTCAGGAATTATCCCAAGGAAGCTGCCTGAAATGGGATGCTTCCAGGTCAGATTTTCCTTCTCATTGTCCTGACTGAATTGGGAATAAATTAATTATATTCCCAATTCAATCAAGATAACAAGAAGTAAAACCACCAAAACCTCTTCCCGATGAATTTTTATCCCACAGCATTCCCAAATGAAAATCACCTCCTCCTTTTCCCTGTCCCAGGTGCAGAGGTCCTGGCTGCAGAAATCATCCACAAACCCCAGTGTGAAGGTGCTGAGAAGGAAATCTCAGCTCCCAACATTCCTGGCGTGGAAGCAAAGAGGCCAAAAACCCTGGAAAACCAGAATTCCCAGAAGGTTCCTGCCACAGAGAGTGACACAAAGCCAGGGAAGAGCAAAATGCAGAAAAACGTGGAAAACGAAGCGTCAAAACCTCCGGAGAACCAGCAGGAAGAGAGCGGTGAGGAAAAATTCCCATGGGAAAAAATTCCTTTCAAAGCTGAGCTATCCAGAGGCAGGGACGAAATAAACAGCTCTGGATGGAAACGGGGGGAAATGTCAAATATTTGGGGGAAATTCTGGGATGGAATTCCCAGAGAATCCTCCTGGATCCATGGAAGTGTCCCTGGCCACGAGCAGCCTGGGATAGTGGGATTGGAATGGGATATCCTTAAATTCCCTTCCAGCATTCCATGATCCCACATTCCATCGTTGCCTTTGGAGCATCCAGCATCCCTCCCATGGGATGGCTCCTGCTAAATCCCAAAAAATCCCAAAAATTTGGCTGTAAAAAAACCCCAATTTTATGTCTCACTCCATAATGGGATGAGCCACGGGGTTGGAATATCCTTAAATTCCCTTCCAGCATTCCATGATCCCACATTCCCTCGTTGCCTTTGGAGCATCCAGCATCCCTCCCATGGGATGGCTCCTGCTAAATCCCAAAAAATCCCAAAAAAACCCCAAATTTGGCTGTAAAAAAACCCCCAATTTTATGTCTCA